CCTATTTCTTTAGACTCACTTCTTACCTCTACCTACAGACAGGTACTTTCTCTAGCATACTCATCACTCACCATGGTCTCTTTTTGCACCTGGACCTACTAAGCCATCAAGGCAGAGATGAAAGGATGCCTCCTTCAGGAAGGTGTTCTTGTTCCTCCACTTGGAGTAAAGTGTCTCTCCTCTGAACTTTCTTGCCTGCTAGGGCTTATAGAACTTCTTTTTCCTCAGTAAGCTTGAGGATGTTTCATTTCTCATTTCTCTGTTTTGCCAGTCCTTAGTACAGTGTCCCAGAAGTGTTTGGTGTTTGTTAAATGCCTCTTTGACTCTTGCCTGGAGAAGAGATAGCTTGGGAAGGAAACTATAGTTCTAGGTATTAGAAGAGCAGTCCTGAGACACAGGGCAAACTTTATTTCATGATTCTCTGAAAGAGTTGGACCCAGAAGCAGAAGAGACACAAACACAAACTCTTTAGGTTAGTAGTACATATATTAGCAATGCTGTCTGGCTTCTTTCTTGTGGGAAGGATAACAATTTGTTAGTTCAGTAGGAGGAAATTGCCTGCTCCATTTCTGCCTATAAAGTATTCTAGCAATATGTTGCGTCTTGCCAGGTCATAGTGAATATATGGGCTGCAGGCAAGAACCAGATTTTCCTGGAGTATTCTCCAGACCTTTTATCCCAGTTCCTTCTGTGCTTTATGTGATATGTTTTCAAGCATTTGATAATCCTGACATTTTTTGTATCAGTGTTCTTTGTACAGTGTGGTCCCAAGACCTGATTCCAAGGTTCCAATGATGCTTTGACAGCAAAGAACTGTAGAGAGCTGCTGCCTTTATTCTGAGTATCTTCCCGGGACCAAGGCTTCCCATTGTTTTGTGCTTTCCACAGTACTGCACATAAGTAAAGTTGAACAACAAAAATTGAATCAAATATGTCTTCATAAGCATTTGCCACAAGGTGGCATCAGAGTTCTTGCCATTGCCACACTAGCCATTAAAAATACCTTTCTTAAAGAAGTTTAAACTCGTGGCTCATGCCTATAATCCTGGCTACTCAGGAGGCTGAGATCTGAGGATTCCAGCCTGCCCGAGTAGGAAAGTTTGTGAGACTTCCAGCTCTAATTAACCTCTAGAACACTAGAAGTGGTGTTGGGGCTCAGAGTGGTAGAGTATTAGCCTTCAGCAAAAAGCACTCAGGGACAGTGCCCAGGCTCCCGGTTCAAGCCCCACAACCAACAGGAGGAAAAAAAAAAAAGAAGTTTAAACTTATTTACTGGATTGGAGGCATGGTTCACTGGTAGAGAGCATACCTAGAAAGCATGAGGCTTTTAAGTTTGAACACCAGTACTGGGGGGAAGAAAAACTCATTAAAGAAAATAAAACTAGGGGCTGGGAATGTGGCTTAGTAGTAGAGTGCTTGCCTAGCATGCATGAGCCCTAGGTTTGATTCCTCAGTTCCACATAAACAGAAAAAAGCCAGAAGTGGTGCTATGGCTCAAGTGGTAGAGTGCTAGCTTTGAGCAAAAAAAGAAGCTCAGAGACAATTCCCTAGCCCTGAGTTCAAGCCCCAGGACTGGCAAAAACAAAAAAAGAAAAAAGAAAATAAAACTATCAGGTAAGGGCATAGATATAGTTCAAATGGTATAGCATTTGCCTAGCAAGCATAAGACCATGAATCCAATCCTCCACCTTAAAAAAAACACATTTACTAAATATAATGCCAATAAATATTATGTCTCCCATCTTGTAAAAATCCTGAGAGGTACTTAACACACCTTAGCATGTTAGAAGAGAGGCCTCTGGGAGAGAAAGAGGGAACAGAAGACACTGTATGATAGGAAATATACTCATTGCCTGACTCATGTAATTGTAATCCCTCTGTGCATCACCTCAATAATAACAATAAATTTTTTTAGAAAAAGAAGGGCCCGAGAAATCAAACCAAACCTTTCTTCAAGGAGACAATTAGACAGTGAACTTGAAGCAGAATAGAATTAGAACTTAGAGCCCAGGTATGTTGGGCTTCCACTGGGCCTACTGGCTTAGAGTATAGTCCTGTCTCTAAATTTCTCTTCTTTCCTTTTCTCTCTCCCACTGACCTATCCCTCTCTGCCTTTTTCTAGCTCCTCCACTCTCATTTGATTAGTTTTTATCACCCTAGTTTTATGTCTGATGATTGTAAGTCAAGGCAAGATAGTTCATCATTTTACTCCTGCTTGTTCTTGAACAAGTCAGAGCAAGTCAGAACAGAATCCAATTCTTTGCATCTCTGAACTCTTTCAACATGTACAGAGCTACACAGCTCATATGGAAACAAATTTCTTGGGATTAGGGTCATGGTTCAGTTGGCAGACCACTGGTCTAACAAATGCAGATCTTGGAGTTAAAAGCCCAGAACCACCCAAAAACGTTTTTTGTTTGTTTGTTTTTGTTGGTTGTAGGACTTGAACTCTGGGCCTGGGCACTGCTGTTCAGCAAGGCAAGCGTTCTACCACTTGAGCCATTTCTGGTTTTTTAACTGTGATCCTCAGATCTCAGCCTCCTGAGTAGCTAGGATTATAGGCATGAGCCACCGGTGCCCGACCCAAAAAAGATTTTTGATTTTTTAAAATCTTGACCACAAATTCTCCATCAGAATATGCTATTAATGATTGGTGGGTAGTGGAAAGGCGCTGTTAGAGCAGGCTAGTTGTTTTATGTAATAGCCTAGTTTTTGTTTTGGTTTTTTTTTTGAAAAGCTGGAAGCAGTCCAGGAATTATTGTTCTTTTTCATGGAGAACAAGTATAGCCAGACTTAATTTCCTCTAGTCTCTTGGCTTACTATTTTGTGAATAGCCCCATGGATCTCTTAAAGCAAATGATGCAAATAATACAAACCCTTCTGCCCCCACTTAGTCTTGTGATTTTGATTATTCTTCCCTACTGTTGTTGAGTGTTGTGATTCTGGTTGTTCTTTCCTACCATTATTGGTAATGTCTTTGCCTGTTCTCCTCCCAATGTCTTCTAGATTGGCGGCTATTTATTACTACATGTGGTATATCCTGATGTGTCTGCACATTTGATATAAGGCAGAACAGTATATAGAGAACAGTAGAATTGATACTGAAGTATATGATTCCTTGGAATCTCAAAAGCAAAGTGGCTCTGCTTACCATTCTCTTCTCTTTCTTTGCTTGCACTTGCTTGCATTCTCTTCTCTTCTCATACTTTTTTCATTCATAAAGTCTTAAATTCATGATCCTTCTGCCTTAGCCTCCCAATTGCTAAGATTACATACGTCACCCTGCCTGGCTTCTCCTTTTATTACTCTATAAAATAACACCAAAAAATAAGGGATTTTCTTGCCCCAGAGCAGTCTATAAGGGAGTGATAGCTTCAGACAGCTACAACACTTCTACGAAGCCCTGTGGTGCCCTGCCCACTGTGGTAGCCACTAGTCACATATGGCTCCTAGATATTTGGGATGTGCTATAAATGTGAAATATATGTCAGATCTCATAGTCTCCAGAAACCAAAATATTTTATTAGAAATTTTTGTATTTCTCAGTGGCTATATCTCAGTGGTAGTGTACCATGCTTAGTATGTACATAGCCCTGGGTTCAAACCTAGCACCAAATAATAATAATAACCCCAATATTTTGTACATGTTGAAATTACATATTAGATATATTGGTTTGAATAAAATATATTATTAAATTATAGAAACTCTAAAATCTTATCTGTGATTTGTATTATGTTTTGATTGGACAATACTTCCCAACATTGGTCCAGAAATGCCCAAGGGCAAATGTTTTCAGATTTTTTTTTTACTATGGGACTTGAGAAAACAAGAGCCAAGCTTTTGAAATAGAAGTAGAATGAATTTGTGCATTTGTAACGCTTCATCTAACAAGTATAAGGTAAAACTCTGAAGGAGGGAAAATACAGGTTTGGTTTTGTTTTTTGGTCATGGGGCTTGAACTCAGGGCCTGGGCACTGTCCCTGAGCTTTCTCATAAAGCTAGCACTCTACCACTATGAGCATAGCTCCACTTCTTGTTTCCTGCTGGTTAATTAGAGATAAGAGTCCTAGGGACTTCTCTGCCTAGGCTGGCTTTGAACTATGTTCCTCAGACCTCAGCCTCCTGAGTAGCTGAGATTATAGGTGTGTGCTACCAGCACCTAGCTTAGAATTTCTCTCTCTCTTTCTCTCTCTCTCTCTCTCTCTCTCTCTCTCTCTCTCTCTGGGTGGGGGTGGGGTCTTGAACTCAGGGTCTGGGTACTGTCCCTGAGCTTTTCTGCTCAAGGCTACATTCTACCTCTTTGAGCCACAGCTCCACTTCCAGCTTTGAGTGGTTAGTTGGAGATAAGAGTCTCACAGGGACTTTTCTGCCCTGGGTGGCTTCTAACCATGATCCTTGGATCTCAGTCTCATGAGTAGCTATGATTCCAGGTGTGAGCTGCCACCAGCACTTGGCTCTACAAGAGAATTCTTTAAAACAAGTGTGTTTCCCTTTTAGGGAGTCTTTCTGGTCTAGTTTAACTTTTCTCTTATTTACACAAATTTATAAGGGCCCACTGTGTGCCAGTTTCCACCTGTGAATGAGTTCAAAATCAGCCTCACATTCTAGGTAAGCCCTGAAATGATGGTAGAAAAGAAAATGCTTTTAGGGCATGATTAGGAAGTCATGACTAATTCTGATTGGAAAGGAGAGTGAAGGCTTCCTTTGTCAGAAAGGGAGGCAGGAAAGGTATTTTAGTCCCAGTCTGACCTCCTTGGTTGCAGGGAATGAACAAAGAAGCTCTTGCAGTTGACCAAGCAAGAGTTTGAAAGAGCTCACCAAGAGAATTGAAAGAGACACGGAAGAGAAGAGTCAGACATAGTTCCAGGTTTCTAGCTGATTACTAGTAGAACTGTGTTTTGTGAAAAATTAGAGATGTAGGAGAGGCTCCAGGTAAGATAGAAGAGGAGAAGCACTGTGGACTGTGTCTCAAGCTGAAGTGCTTGTGTTTGTGTTTCAGATGGTGACCCTCTTTCAGATGTGGGTTGTTCCCCTCTATTTCACAGTGAAGCTACACTGGTGGAGGTTTCTAGTGATCTGGATCTTCTTCTCTGCCGTCACAGCCTTTGTCACCTTCCGAGCCACACGAAAACCTCTAGTACAGACAACTCCAAGGTGAGACTTCAGCTATTGGAGAAGAGGCTGGGTTTTGAAGTTAATGTGTTGGAATGCAGAGACAAGGTGGTTTTATATAGAAAAATATTGCCGTTTCAGTCTGCCGAGATTATTTGGGGTGGGGCCTTTCTAAAACAAGCTGATTGGGAGACCCATAACCCTGTTAAAAGTTCCTAATAGCTCGTTTTATGGTTTATATCAAAGTCTGCTTATATTAAAAGCAAATGCAAACAAAAAAAGTTGTGGTGATCTTTGTGATCTCATCTTAAATGTGTCTTTTTTTTTTTCTGCAAACACTTCTCTGATCTCTCAATTACATTTTCCATTATATTCTCTCATAAGGCCCTGTAGTTTCTGTCATAGAACGTAACACAATTTATAACAAAAGATTTTGAGTATCTGTCTCCCCACTAAACTCTTAACTCTGAGATCAGGAGCCACATCCATTAGTTGTGTGTATCTGGGCCTTGCCACAGGGTCTGGCACATAGTAGCCTACTGTCTGAATTTTTGTTGAATGAATGAATCTCAGCAAATACCTAATTTTCTAGTAAGTAGTACTTCCTTCTTGGGTTACAACATAGCTGCTGCTTATATAATTCTTTGTATTTTATCCAAATGCATTTTTCATTTAATCCTCCCAACCAGCTTGTGAGATCATTTAATATCTATAATTGACAGAAAAGAGATTTTTCTCATTCATTCATTCATTCAACAAGCACCTGCTGTGTGCCAGGCCCTGTGCTGAGCGCTGGGGATACAGAGCTGGATAACATGGTCCCTGCCCTCAAGGAGTGCTCGGTTTAATGGAGGAGATGGACAAGAAAGCACCTGTTGCAATGCAGTTGGTAAGTGCCAGGAGAGGTGTAGTAGGTTCAGGAGCGCCTAGTGGGGAAACTGGCCCCAAAGTTGAACTACCTAACCCAAAGTCACAAGTTTCTCTTCTTCCCTGTGCATTCTCTCCCTTCCCCCTCTCTCTTTCTCTTTCTCTCTCACCTTGGCCAGTCCTGAGGCTTGAATTCAGGGCCTAGATACTGTCCCTGAGCTTTTTCTCAAGACTAGCACTCTACCACTTAAGCCACAGCCACTTCTGTCTTTTTCTGTTTATGTGGTGCTGAGGAATTGAACCCAGGGCTTCATGCATGCCAGGCAAGCACTCTACCACTGAGCCACATTCCAAGCCTCTTCCATGTTCTTATGTTCCGCCATTGCAAGTCTGTCTCTGGCCTTCTGGACTTTATTGTACAGAATGAACAAAGAGAGGCTGTAAATGTCTCTGGTTCCTCTTTTGGGTTCATATACAGGGTACAGGGCCCTTTAGGGCCTGGCAGAAATAATTTGGAATGCCTAGCCCTGTTTCTTGTTAGCACTGTGCTGTCAGCTTTCTGATCCATGAATTCTCCATCCCTAAGAAAGGGATGATATTATAAAGAAAAAGTTTCAATAGAGCTGGGTGCCGGTAGCTCACCTGTAATCCTAGCTACTCAGGAGGCTGAGATCTGAGGTTCAAAGCAGCCAGGGCAGGAAAGTCCATGAGACTCTTATCTCCAATAGACCACTAGAAAACCGGAAGTGATGCTGTGGTAGAGTGCTCACCTTGAGCTGAAGAACGCAAGGACAGCGCCCAAGCCCAGAGTTCAAGCCCCACGACCAACAAAAAAAGAAAAAGAAAAAAAAACAATAAAACAGGTTGAGTTATCAAATGCTGCAATCAAAGCATTTGGAGGATTGTGAATTTGAAGACAATTTGGGGCTATATAGAGAGCTCAAGGCCAGCTTATACTACACATCAAAACTTTGGATTTTGCCTACAAAAAAAAAGTTGTCAAGTGACAACGTCTACCCAATGTATAACTTCTAGTTAAAATGATTTTTTTTTTTTTGTCAGTCATGGGGTTTGAACTCTGGGCCTGGGTGCTATCCCTGAACTCTTCAGCTGAAGGCTAGTGCTCTACTGCTTGAATGACAGCACCACTTCTGGTTTTCTAGTGGTTAATTGGAGATTAGAGTCTCATGGACTTTACCTGCCCCAGCTGGCTTTAAACAGCAATCCTCAGAGCTCAACTCCTGAATCGCTAGGATAATAGGCATGAGCTACCAGCGCCCGACTGCTAAGATGATTTTTTTTTTTTGGGTCCGGTAGTTGGGCCTGAACTCTGGGCCTGGGCGCTGTCCCTCAGCTCTTCAGCTCAAGGCTAGCGCTCTACCACCTGAGCCACAGCGCCACTTCCGGCTTTTTTTTTCTTTTTTTGCTTTGTGGTACTGAGGAATCGAACCCAGGGCCTCAGGCATGCAAGGCAAGCGCTCTACCACTGAGCCACCTTCCCAGCCCAAGATCATTTTTCTTTTAAGTAACATGGATAGTTTTGTTTTTTTTTTTTAAATTATATAATAGTAACAGTTGGTGCTTACAGTTTCAAAGTACTATCATAAATATCTTCATTTTCCTCATTCAGCATTTAATGAACATTTACTAGGAAATGGGTTTGGACTCTGTGTAATATAGTGAGAAAGATAGTGTTATTTATTTGTTTTCCCCATTTTTTACTTCCAAAGAAAGTAAATGTCTCAGAGAAACTGTTTGTCTTACTTATCCAGCAGCTAAAATATTACTTACTTCAAAGTAAGAATTACATGACCTGAGATTTCATGTCTTTTTTACTGTCTCCTCCCAGTGTAAACTGTGGTTTTTGTACAACACTGCAAGGTGCTTGGGACCTTTCCTTAGCCATGGCTACTGGCTTAGCCACAGTAGGGAGTCATAGGCAGGGCAGGACCTTGAGCTTCTTCTCTAGGGTCCCGTAGGGCCAACAGTAACCCAGCCAGCTCTCAGGAAGAAGGCCAGCTTGTGCTGGCTGTTCAAGCAAATTACTAAAGTGCTTAGTTCTCACCACAGAGAGAATAGTGGCTTCTAGTATCAAGGACCAACTCTTGGGATATTTAAAAGTCTCTGGTTCATTCAGAGAACCATCTTTCCCTCCTGCGTGTAGTTGGAGTCAACCGCCCAGATTTCATGCTGCTCTGCATTAGATCCTGGGGCATGGAGCTTACACCTCAGAAGGTGAACCACCTCATGCCATCCTGCTACCACACAGCATACATACATCTAATTCAGAGGAACTTATTTTTTTCTCCAGAGAAAAAAGTCATTTCTGAAACAAAATTCCAACACATCATTCTCTCAGGAACAAAGCTATATTCAGATTAACCAGGCCTGGTTACACAAAGCTATAGCTAATTCTACTTACAATGTGTCTTCCTTGAATTGTCTTTTCTGACCCGAACAAGTAGCCCTCACTGGTTGTCTTCTAAGGATAATTAGCTTTCACTCACTAACTCACTCCCTTCCCTAACTAACCTATATTTGAGATAATTAACTGTCCTAGGTCATTGTGCCCTTGATTTGTTTGAAGTTGAAACTTGTTTCTAGGGATCTCTTTTCTTGGTCCAACACTGGAAAATACTGGAGGTGTTACATGGAATTGTTTCTGAAATTGAGGAAGTGAACAGCTTTCCATAGAAAGTGCAGATGCTCAACAAGTCCTGAGTCTAGAATCAGATGTTTCCATTAATATGAAAATAAGGGATTCTGGTGGTCCATTGGCTCCAAAGGCCAGTTGTCTGTGTCAACTGTACTAACTTTTGATCTCTTTTCCCCAGGTTGGTTTATAAATGGTTCCTGTTGATCTATAAAATCAGCTATGCCACTGGCATTGTTGGCTACATGGCTGTCATGTTTACCCTCTTTGGTCTTAACTTGTTATTCAAGTGAGTATCCTTTTGCTTTTGCTGGTGTTTGGGGAAGAATGGCTAATGAGGTGTACCTTTCTTTTATATATCTAATTTTATTATTAATAGAGGGGTTACCATTTTGTAAGTTAGGTAATAAGTACATTTTTTGGGGGGTGGGGGACAATGTCACCCCTTCCCTTGCTTTCTCCCATTTTCCCCCTCTCATCCCTGTCCACAAAAGGTATACCATTCTTCTTGCCCCAAGTCCTGGGTATTAACAAAAAGGACATACCACCAGGGCAGGAGGCTTGAGCATTAGGATGATTAGAGATGGCAGGTCCCTCTGTGCATTGTCCAAATCACTGCTTATTTTTCCACTGAAAACTATATCAGAAGTAAGCATGATCATGGTTCTAACCAATTGCCCATATTTTCCCTAATGGCAGTTTTCCTCATCCATGTTAACTAATCTGCCTAAAAGGCCTTAGATTCAATCAGACTAGGCACTGGCAAACTATAACCTCTGGGCAAATCAATCCACCATTTGTTTTTATAAAATTAAGGAGTTTTTTTTTTATTGTTGGTTTTCAACAACAACAAAAATAGACATGGTTCTGTTTTTGGCTTTTGTCCTGGAACTCAAAATCTTCCTGTCTCATGGGTGACAATGTCAGACACTCTGTACTCATATACTGTTTTGTAGAATGGGAATTTCTTTGTACAACTACTTAAAGATAATAAAAAAAGAAAAAGAAAAAAAATCTTCCTGTCTCGCCTCCTGATTTACAGGATTATAGTGTGTGCTACTAGGCCATCTAAAAAAGGGCATTTTGTTTGTGTGTTTGTTGTTTAATTAGTTGATGTGTTTTGGCAGTACTAGAGTTTGAGCTCAGGGGTTTGTACTTGCTTGGCAAGAGTTCTACCATTTTAGCCTTGCCTCAATCCTAAAATAAGGTTTTGCTGGAACACGGTCTTGCACAGTCATGTTTATTGTATAGAGCTGTCTTTGCACTGAAATAGTAGAGTTGAATAGTAGCAGTAGCAATAGAGTATAGTAACAGAGAACATGTGGGACATAAAACCTAAAATATTTGCTCTCTGGCCCTTAACAGAAAAATTTGCCAACCTTTGGGCTAAGATAGTCAAACTCCTTGACCATAGTTGGTCACACCTGACAACAGGTCCATTTAGAGGATAGAAGATAGACAATACACCATTACCTATCTACCAGAAACTAGTTCCAGGAATCTCAGAGCTGAGCTATGAGTCCCTAAGTCCATACATGCTGGGCATAGGAAACCCAATCCACTGAGAACATGTCCAGTTCAAGAATGTCTCAGTTCACATGCAGTGTACCAATTATACATCACATTTTATATGTATGCAGTATTGTCTGTGACACAGCTCACATTCCACCTTTGTCAAGTAGGAAAAGAATTTTAGGAAGTTAATCTGCAAACATTTAAGTATTGCTTTATTCTTGGACATTTAGGCCATGTTACTTTGTAAGGGTACAAAACTAGGAATGAGATTCTGGTGTTCCTTCATATTTTGTAAGCTTTCTGTTTCTTTTTTTTTTTTTTTTTGGGGTCCGGTCATGGGGCCTGAACTCTGGGCCTGGGCGCTGTCCCTCAGCTCTTCAGCTCAAGGCTAGCACTCTACCACATGTAGAGCCACAGCACCACTTCCGGCTTTTTCCTTTTTGCTTATGTGGTGCTGAGGAATTGAACCCAGGGCCTCATGCATGCAAGGCAAGTGCTCTACCACTGAGCCATCTTCCCAGCCCAATATTTTGTAAGCTTTCTAAAAAGATTTGTACAGCTAGGTGTCATTGGCTTATGCCTCTAATCTTAGCAACCAAAAGGCTAAGATCTGAGGATTGTGGTTCAAAGCCAGTCTCAATAGGAAAGTCCATGAGACTCTTTTTTTTTTTTTGGGTCCGGTCGGGGGGCCTGAACTCTGGGCCTGGGCGCTGTCCCTCAGCTCTTCAGCTCAAGGCTAGCGCTCTACCACTTGAGCCACAGCACCACTTCCAGCTTTTTTCTTTTTGCTTACGAGGTGCTGGGGAATTGAACCCAGGGCTTCAGGCATGCAAGGCAAGTGCTCTATTACTGAGCCACCTTCCTAGCCCCCCCATAAGACTCTTTATTTCCAATTAACCACCCAAAAGCCAGAAGTAGAGCTCAAGTGGTAGAGCACTAGCCTTGAGCCACAAAAGCTCAAGTACAGTGCCACTGAGTTCAAATACCAGCAACGCTCCTACCTGCAATTGAGTCAGAAGCCAACATGTTCTGAGTTTGGGTATGAGCTAGTAGGTCAGCAGAGGGTGGAAATATGGTTACCTGAGTCAAATAATAGTGACTGTGGACTATGGAGTAAGAGTCCTAAGCCTACAACACTAACAGAAGTTAAAAGGATTTAGAGTTCCCATTTAAAGTCATGGATAGGAAGGGCACTGACCTTGTCCCCAAACCCAGGATGCTGTAGGCAGATACATATTTGAAACCAAAAGAGGTTTATTTGGGAACAAGTAAAACTAAGTGTTACTTTACATAGTGAGAGGACACCCATAGGATCCTTTCTTCCAGGGGTAAATCAGGCTGAAGGAATAAACAGACTCCAGAAAGGTTTAGAGGATTTCATCCATGTAGAATCTAATACATCTCATCAAAAGAAAGCAAGGTATTTCCAGCTATTTTCCTAGCCTGTGTGGTTTTAAAAAAAAAACAAAAGAAAAGAAAATCAAGATTTTATATTATATTTTAAAGGGTTTTTTTCTGTAATTAGTTTCTTTTCACTTGCCTAAGTTACACAGGAGGAAAAATAAATTGAGGATCTCAATTTATGCTTCTGATTAGATTAACTGGAATAAGGTCAATGACATCTGGTCAGTAAGTTAATAGTACAAGGTTGGTAGACAAATTCAGATTCACAACTTTAAGGTCTGGGTGCAGTGATTCATACCTAAAGTCTCAACTTCTGGCTATGTGGGTATAGAACTTGAAGTTTGAGACCAGTCTGGGCAAAAAATCCTATCATAACAAAGAAGCCACGTGTGGTGGTGTACATTTGTAATCCAGTTACAAGGGAGACAACAGGAGGATGGATATCAAAAAAATAACTAAAGCAGAAAAAAAAAGTTTGATGATTTGGCTGTAGTGGTAGAGCACCACTTAACCGTTTCTTATCAAGTAGTTTGATAAAAAAAAGTTTATAGACTCAGGTCCTTGGAATTGTAAACAAACTTCCCAATCTTACAGGGACCTCTTTATCCTTCTTAGTTTATATACTTGGAACAAAAGTTAACTTTGACATGATACAAAATATGTAAAGATACAACTTAATTATTTTTTTTTCTTTTTGGAACTGGTACTGTGCTTGAATTCAGTGCCTAGTACTCTCACTTGGCTCTTTTTGCTCAAGGCTGGTGCTCTACCACTTGAGCACACAATCGCTTCTAGCTTTTTGCTGATTAATTGCTGGATAAGAGTCATGATTTTTCTGTTCGCGTTAGCGATGATCTTCAGATCATAGTCTTCTGAGAAGCTAGAATATTTATGTCAGATAGTTACTGTCTTTTTTCTAAACATGTGTTTGGCAAACTTTTTTTTTAAATGGTGCTTGTCCTGAGGCTTGAACTCGGGCCTCAATACTGTCCTTGAGCTTTTTTTTTTTGTCCTGTAGCTAATACTCTTATCATTTGAACTACAGCTCTACTTCCAAATTTTTAGTGGTTTAGTGGAGATAGGAATCTCATGGACTTTCCTGCCCAGGCTGGCTTCAAACCACAATACACAGATTTCAGCCTCTCTTGAATAATTAGGATTACAGGCATGATCCACCTGGAACCCAGCTTGGCAAACTCTGTGTTTGTGTGCACGCGTGCGCATGCACGCGTTCCAGTCCTAGGGCTTGAACTCAGGGTCAAGGTGCTGCTCACAGGCTCTTTTTGCTCAAGGCCAGCTTTCTATTGCTTGAGCCATAGCTCCACGTCCAGCTTTTTGGTAGTTAATTGGAGAGATAAGAGTCTTGAGGACTTTTCTTCCCAGGCAGGCTTTGAAGTGTAACCCTTAGATCTCAGCCCGATGAGTAACTAGGATTACAAGTATGAGCCACCAATACTCAGCTTGGCACACTTTTTATATAAATGGCCAAATAGTACATATTTTAAGGGGCTGGAAAGTTGGCTCAGTGGTAGAGTGCTTGCCTCGCATGCATGAGGCCCTGGGTTCTATTCCTCAGCACCACATAGGCAGAAAAAAGCTGGAAGTGGTGCTGTGGCTCAAGTGGTAGGGCACTAGCTTTGAGCTGAAGAGCTGAGGGACAGCGCCCAGGCCCAGAGATCAACCCCCCCCAACAACAAAAAAAAGGCAGAAAATACTTTAGGTTCTGTGGAACAAAAGGAAAATAATCTAGTATATTTTGTGTAGGTATTTATACTGATAGAGAACTCTGTTATCCTGCTCCAACCTGTTCATCAGGGTCCAAGGGTCTCCAGGCAAAGCCATGCTTTATATCCACTGTAGAAAGAACCTGGGAGGAGATGTGTGTCCACTGGCATCATTTTCAGTCTTTGCTCTAGTGATACTTAGATTCTGTCATGTTTTCCTTCCTTTTGGAGGGCTCAGTCATTTCACCTTGGCTGGCTCAAGATAAGACAACTCACTGAATCACTAACTTCTAGATTAAATTTCAATACTTGGTATCTAGCAGTTGCCAACAGTGGCAACCAGAGCAGGCCTTAGGCAGTTACAAGACTAGCTGCTGGTCACAAAAGGAATTGGGAGTCGAGTTGGAAACAGAGCTGTTGTCTTTACAGCTTACAGTGCTAGACTAGCTTTCTCAAGAAGTAAATCACAAATCTGAATTGGTCTTAATTTGTCAATCTTTGCTCTACCCTGAGCCCTCTAGCAATAGAGCCTGCCTTGAGTGTCCCAAAGTAGTAATCCAAAGCAGTTGTATGTTGGGGCAAGTCTTACTGGCTGTGGTGTTTCCCACACAGGATTAAACCAGAAGATGCTATGGACTTTGGCATTTCTCTCCTTTTCTATGGCCTCTACTATGGAGTTCTTGAGCGAGACTTTGCAGAAATGTGTGCAGACTACATGGCATCTACTATAGGGGTAAGGTCATTTACTTTAATTTTATTTGAAGTATTCAAGTTTGAACTCAGGGCCTTATACTTGCCAGGCAGTTGCTCTGCCACCTGCTCTCTCCTCCTTTTTGCATTAGTTATTTTCAAAGTAGGGTCTCACTTTATGTCTGAACCATCCTGGCCTGTGATCCTCCTACTGTGTGTCTCACGTCATGTGCCACTGTACACAGTCATTGTGCTTCCCCTGTAGCTGTAACAACAGATGTCCACTAACACTCAGCCATTGCCTGGTCTAGCCTGAAACCCTGATCCTCCAATCTTTGCCTCCTAAAAAGCTAGGATTACAGGCTTGGGCCACCACACTGGGCTTCATCTGTGCTCCTCTTTAAAAAAAAAAAAAAGCATTTTATTAAATGCTTTTCATGACAATTTCTAGTGTATTTTGTTAAAGGCATTTTTATTTGTATTTTATTGTGACATTTGCAGGTACACATGCAATGTATCCAGATCCACATCACCCCCGCTGCCACCTATGCTCTTTTTTTTTCCTAAATTTTTAATTGTGATTAAGTGGTTACATAATTCCCCAAATTTCACAGTATTGTGGGATAGTGATGCTTAGTTAAAGTCACAAACACATTCTAACTTTCATGGAGCAAATTGTCTATCACGGTCTATAACATTTATGAGTTCTATGAGCTTTGCAATACAGTTATTTCTTCCACATTGGGTGATATGTACATTTCTTTTGTTTTGCATAGCATCAGCTGTTCCCTCTTTCCCACTTCTTCCCTCCCTCCCATCGCTGCCATTGTGTTGCTTAGTTCATTTTGGTCAATGTCCAGTGCAGCTGATGGGTCCTGCTGGTGTATGTTTTTCCATGATTCCCTCTAGTTCTGTGTCATCCTCCTGGTTTCCCTCCAGTATGCACATATATACCATACATGTGATCAGCAGCATGGGTCACTTAGTAGTGATTCGACCAGATGAGTGGAAGTCCTTTGTTTCTTAAGTCCTGTTAATTTTGTCGTATCACCTCACCTAATATTTTGGATTTAACATCCACCTATCAGGGAGGCCATGTGCTGTTTGACTCCCTGCACCTGGCTCACCTCATTCAACATGACTTCCCCCAGCTCCATCCATTTCCCCGCAAATGCCACCATTCTGTCCTTTCCAATGGCTGCACGACATTCCACTATGTATAGATACCACGATTTTTGGATCCACTCATCTGTGGTGGGACATCTGGGTTGTTTCCGTACCCTGGCTATTGTGAACAGTGCTGCAATAAACAGGGAAGTGCATGTGTCCTTGTATCCTGGTTCCTGTTGTTCAGGAGAGATGCCTAGAAGTGGTATGCCTGGGTCGTAAGGGAGGTCAATCTTTAGCTTTCTAAGGACCCTCCAGACTGCTTTCCAAAGTAGTTGTATAAATGTACATTCCCACCAGCAGTGTAATAGGGCTCCTCCTTCTCCGCATCCCCTCTAGCATTTGTCGTTGGGGTAAGGTGGCATCTGAGGGTTGTCCCTACTTGCATTCCCTTCACAACCAGGGATGGTAAACATTTCCTCATGTGTTTCTTTGCCATTTTTATCTCTTCTTCTGAGAAGTCTCTCTTTAGTTCCCTTGCCCATTTAGTAATTGGTTTGTTAGGTTTAGGAGGGATTAGTTTCTGGAGTTCCCTGTATATACTGGATATTATCCCTTTGTCTGATATATTGCTGGTAAATATTTCTTCCCAATTAGTTGGTTGTCTTTCTAGCTTGGTTGCTATCACCTATGCTCTTAATACTGCCTCCTGCCCCTCCAGATTGTTCAAGCTAGCATCACTTGCTTGATGGAAGAGAAAAACACTGAGGGATGAGATAAAATTCCTTCCTTAAAATTTGAAAAGCCAGATCTCAGATATCTCCTGGAGTTTTTAACTTTAGGGCCCTTGTAGGGAAAGAATATGTGCCTGGGCACAGTGTTGTATGTTGAAATTGCAAAAGTATTGAAAAAACAGAGATAACTCTTGCCTAAATTAACTTGACTCTCTCACGGAAAAGATTAGTATTAAAGGAACACCCACACATTTGAGGAAGTATTAATAGGAAGGAAAGATGCATGATAGTATGAACAAAAGAGCAGTGACATTTTAGTCTTGGCTCAAAGATAGCTTCCCCAAAGAAGCCACTAATGGGCTGAGTTCAACAGTGATTAGGGGTTAAGTGGCTGAAGAAGAGCGTTCCATGGAGAGATAATGGCTTGTGAGTCCTGTTGCTGGATAGGTAGGCATTGTGAGGAACTGAGGCCACAGTGGCTGGCTTAGAATGATGGAAATATCTAGAGAAATAGAAGCCAGATAAGAGAAAGACCTTAATGGCCAAATTAAATATTTTAATGTCTATACTAAACAGTGACAGGCTAAGATAAGGAATGATTTCACAGATTTGCATTTTGACCAAGCATTTTGACCACTGAGTAAAGAAAGCTTAGAGAGGGCTGGGAAGGTGGCTCAGTGGTAGAGTGCTTGCCTTGCATTCATGAGGCCCTGGGTTCGATTCCTCAGCACCACATAAGCAGAAAAAGCTGGAAGTGGCGCTGTGGCTCAAGTGGTAGAGCGTTAGCCTTGAGCTGAAGATCTGAAGAGCTGAGGGACAGCGCCCAGGCCCAGAGTTCAGGCCCCACAACCGCCCCCCCCCAAAAAAAAAAGAAGAAGAAAGCTTAGAGAGGGGCCCGCAGTGAGACTGGACTTCTTGAAGGGATAATTGTGGTCTTCTGGGCAACATAAAAGTGACTTCGATTGGAGTAGATTGTGGAAAGGGAGAGAAGCGACTGTTTGGAAAACATTTTAGAAGTGAAATTGACCGAACTTGGATATAGCTTGGTTTCTGAGACAGAAAGAGAAACTGTAAAGGCTGTGTGAGCCTCAGAGTTGATGATGGTTCCGTTGCCAGTGTTGAGTTGGTGCCTCTCACAGAAGAGGACCAGCCACAGACCATGAGGAGATGCTTTAGTCTTAAACTGTGGGTAAAGTCCTGAGTAAATATACCTAAGTTTTTCCAAAATGAAGATATTTTCCTTTTTTAAAAAATAAAAGTCAGCCAGGTGCCGATGACTCACGCCTGTAATCCTAGCTACTCAGAAGGCTGAGATCTGAGGATTGCAGTTCAAAGCCAGCCTGGGCAAGAAAGACTGTGAGACTCCTATCTCCAATAAACCACCAGAAAACTGGACGTGGTGCTGATGCTCAAGTGGTAGAGCGCTTGCCTTGAACTGAAGAGCTGAGGGACAGCGCTCAGGCCCAGAGTTCAAGCCCCACGACCGACAAAAAAATAAAAATTAAAAGTAGTGTATTCTGTGCATTGATTTAAACCACACAGAAGTACTCCCCATCTCACTGTCAGTCCAGACTCCCCCAGTCCCCAGCAAGACTGTTCCCATCATCCTGGGGAACATTCATCAAGTGTTAGGCCTCACTGTGGAGAGACTGATTTTCTCTTTCCTGTGTTTAGAAAAAATTGGAAAAAAAATTATATTGGATCACTTTATAAGTCACTGTTAGGGTTTGGATATAGTTTTAATGTGTCCTCCAAGAGTTCTGTGTTAGAGGCTGAGTCCTCAATGTGGAAGTGTTGAGATAGTGGGACTTTAAGAGATGAGGCCAAGGGCTGGCAATGTGGCTTAGGGGTAGCATGCTTGCCTAGCATTCAGAAAGCCCTGGGTTCAATTCCTCAGCACCATATAAACAGAAAAAGCTAGAAGTGGCGCTGTGGTAGAGTGATAGCCTTGAGCAAAAAGAAGCTCAGTGGGCTGGGAAAGTGGCTCAGTGGTAGAGCGCTTGCCTCTTATGCATGAGGCCCTGGGTTTGATTCCTCAGCACCACATAAACAGAAAAGGCCAGAAGTGGTGCTGTGGCTGAAGTGGTAGAGTGCTAGCCTTGAGCTGAAGAGCTGAGGGACAGCACCCAGGACCAGAGTTCAAGATCCATGACCCCCCCCAAAAAAAAAATCTGAAAAAGAAGCTCTGTGACAGTGCCCAGGTGCTGAGTTCAAGCCCCAGGACTGGCAAGAAAACAAAAACAAACAAAACCACAAAGACACAAAGAGATGAGGCCAGTGGAAGGTTACCAGGAGCATGAAGTGTTGTAATGCGGAGTCTTCACCCCGCACATGCTGTGCTGTTTGGACTTTAAGCTTCCAAAACTGTGAGCTAAATAAATCTCTTCCTTACAAATCCCTAGCCTCAGGCATGTTGTTATAGTAATGAAACAGACTGACACAACAGCCTAACAGATTCTTTTTTGAGCAACTATTCTATATTTTAACTTCATTTCAGTCTTTATCTATTTGTGTAGACTTCATATTGTACTTTCACCAGCTCACTCACCAGAAGAGATTTCCTGGCCCTGAAGTGTCTAATTATTGACTTCATACTTGTTACCCGCCATTCACTAAGATTGCTACTGTGGCATAGCAGCTTTTTATAGCAACTTTTGCTAGTATTTTCTTTACCCTCTACTTTCCTTTTCTTCTCTTGTTTGTGTAAGACCAATTTTGTGATTAGCCCAGGTTTTTGCCAACTTTATCTCAAGGCTATTATCAGCTGTCAGTTAAAGCGTAGCCTTAATTTCCACAGGCAGATCAGTAATAACTAGTTATGGAATTTCCTTTTTTCTAGACAGACTGAGCTCAGAATTGATCATACATTAGCTTCTCCCCCAGGAGAGGAATCATTACAATTGGATCCCCAAGTGGGATTTGAGCTAGGTCCTCTTTGCGCGCTAGGAAGAATTATTAGGGACTTTAGTGATTGAAAGTAGTCATCTCTAATGGTGATGTGACAGTTCCCTACAAATGATAAATTCCAGCTTCACCAGAAGGTGGTAGGATCATTTCTGATTGAGGTAGAGACTATCTCACACTCACCAGTGCGTGCCAGTCCTGGTACTTGAATTTAGGGCCTGGACACTGTCCAGGGCTAGCACTCACTGTACTACTTGAGCCACAACACTACTTTTAACCTTTTCTGTTTATGTGGTAC